TGGGACATCTTGATAGAGCCGCCCAAAAACGTCAGCCACACTATAAAAGTGGTCGATATGTAAAACACGATATCGCGGCACAGGGGCCGAGCCATCGGCTTGAAGTCGGACAGTATGAATATAGTGCCCGCCACTACTGTTGTTACAAATATACCGGCGCCTATTTGTGTGCGGAGTTTGAGTTAATTTTATGTTTGGTACTAAATTAGTTGTATTGTTTGTGTGTATTGACTGACCGTATAGTTCGCCGACCACCAGCTCCGGGTTGGCCTGTCGTATGCCAGCGATGGATGAAAATATATCGGGCGCTCCGTTTCCAAAGGCTAAGAATGTGACCCCCTTTTCATTGCAATTCATTTACATTAGTTTTATATTGATTTCTAATTAATTTTGTTTGTTTTTTGTTAACTTACGGCTATATTATGTGAAAGCCTTAATGTTCTCGATATAACTAATAGCGCCGGACATAGACTATAAATATTAATTATAAGATGTATTAATAATATGTTATATAAATTGATGTTTATAACAAATATAAATTTTCCACAAAATTAATTCTTTTAAATTATTATATTAATTATAACTGTTAGAAAATGTACTATAAATTAATTGATATTTTCATTTATCCGGAAAAATTCATATAAATAACTAATGACTAATCTAAGCCATGTGTTTTAATATAAAACAATATTGTCGACAAATAAATATTGATAAATTAACTTTTATATTCAAATAAAAATATCGTTTAAATAAATAATTTATTAAAAATTAATAATATTACCATATTTTATTGTTTACTAGCAATGACCCAGAATTTATCATATAATATGTTTGTCATATTAAGAAATTACCATAATAATCAATATACATTAATTGTAGTATCAATTTAATTCAATATAAAACTACAAATAAAATTGACATTTAAGTTTTTGTAAATTTTCAAATATTGAATACTAAAAATATTGAATAATTGACAGATTGTCAGTAAATTAAATAATGAATTCCCAGTTTCAAAGTTCACATGCAATAATAAAAAGATATACTAAACTAGTTTTACATAAGAATCAGTTACAGAATTAATTCAATTAATTTGTTGTAACTTTCAATAGACGTCTAACTGTCGTACGGATGAGTAATAAACTCACTATACATACAATGAAATCCTAAAAATAATACCCTATTTCATGAATTTCATAATCAAATGAAACATTGATTTAATTTCTTAAAATGGTTTTGTGTAATGAATTTTATTTAGCGTAAAATTTTGCTGCGATAGCAAATATTCAATAAAAATTTATAAAAATCGTTTTATTGTTTTGTGAAAAATTACAATTAAACGCCAATCATGGTAAAAGTGATAAAACTTACAAATCATCTGCGGTTACGCCTAAACCGGTAAATAAGACGAGTAGCCATAGGAAGAGTACGATAACCCCGTATATCGGGTTTCCAATCATACAATAGGTTAGGTTTACATAACTGACGAGTCCGTCGGTGTCGGAACAGTCGGCCACTGAATTCACAAATTCGCATCTCTGGACTGAATCGTTCAGAAAGTTTACGTCTTGACACTAAACATGTATAAAATATACAATTTATGTTAACTTTTATTGACAATTAGCTTAGTTTTAATATCTATTTAATTATATTTTTATGTATTTAATGCTATTATTAATAACATGTTCACTACTCAACTGAATTGAATCAGAGATTAATAATGTATTCATAATAATGTAAGAAATATTTAAGAGATTATTTTACGACATATAAAACTTTTATGTGTATAGTCTTCAGTGGAAATCTATTCATTAATAAAATATTTATTGTAGACTTTTCTCTACTAAATCTCATTAATTATAAACAACTCAATTCAAGACTTAACCTAAATTTTTTGATAAAAACACAAAAATAATAAATAATTTTTAATTTTTCTTCCAAATAACTATTATTTAATAATTTTTTGTATAAAACTGTGGTTTTATTTAGCGTTATTATAAAACGTTGCATTTATTATGTAATAGATTTGGGTTAAGGTTACGGAACCACCAATGAATTCCTTGATTACAATTCAGTTAAATGATGACAAAACAAAACTATATACAAATGTTTAGACAATAAAAACAAATATAATAATAACAACACAATGAGTGAAATACCGGTAAAGTTGTATCAAATGCTATCAAAGAGTTCATTACAAGAGTTAAATAATAATAATAATGATATAAATAACCGACTAAATAGCGGTTAGGACTTACATTAGATGAGGTGTGATTAGCGAGATATTCACCACTTATAGTGAAATTTTTTGAAAAACTCATTGGAAAAACAATCTGTTAATGAATATCGTGTCCAATAAAACACATTTCAGATGTATT